CCTACTATCTCTGTCTGGGAGGCTTTACAGATCATATTATCAGTGCTTAGAAAAAATGCAGATAAATATTGGGGAAGTGAGATATGGACTAATATATTGCACTCATTAAAGGAACAAAGAAAAAATTATGATTAGTGACTAGAGGAATATAGGATATATTTTACAGAGATGCAACAAGTAATTGATTATGTTTTTATGTCAGCCCTCCAAGTGAGCATCTTTCCGAGGATGGTGATTCATACCGATCTCCAAGTTATTCAAAGATCAGGAACTCCAGGTATGCTGCCATTTTCAACACTGTACTCAAATTTGTTTTCTTCTTGAACATATAACGATTTTAAAAACTGGGATGGCCATCCTCAATTCTGACTAGAAGCAAATGTTAAAACTCACTTTTGAGGTCACAGAAAGTTAATTGGATGGACAGATTGAAATTTGGGGTATTATTTTATGATGGTATGCAGAGAGAATTGTTGTAAATTAAATGCACTGTATTGATAGTTCTCATTATCCGAATAGCACTTTTGAAATTTAGCACGCCTGTAACTGTGAAGTAACATATTTGCTCAAAAGTGTTTTTTTGCAACAATTACTCCCAACAAACCTATCCTGTCTCTTGGGCCCATAGTCCTTTTCATCCCAACCTCAAAACTGATAATTCTTTATTTCATTCAATGGTGCTAGCAGCAGCCCAATTTTTGCCCTGCCTTCCTTCTGGGATCGTTCTGTCACACACTGACTCTGTGATAATGAGATACTGATCCCAATATCTGGAACTCATCCAGTCACTCTACTCTGGCACAATCTCCCAAATTTCAAATCACAGGTGAGGTGAGATGTTTAAGGGAGACAATTCTAAATGCTTAGGTCCAGTTAACTGTGAGCATGCATCAGAGGAACAGAACCTCATAGGGATAGAATTTGAATCTTGCTGTGCCTGGTTTTGACTGTAACAGGTCATAATTTTGCAGGCCAAAGCCATGTCAGTTGCATAAGGCTATTGTTCTGAAGGTGTTAATGTTCATGTTGCCTTGAGTTCCATCCAATCTCATAATGTTGCACACAGTCTGAAACAGGAGACAAGGAGTTCACCTTCATAGGGAACAGATGATTTTGTACAAGATTCAGAGAGTCCTAGTAATTACTGAATGTCTGAATTGTAACATAGTTGTACTCATTGATATCATGCAATAAACCACCGCATTAACTAGAACAGTTCCTATTTGAAAAGACTCCACCTTGGAGGATCTGATACCGTTATTATACAGTCCCTAGGCAAAGTATAGACAAAGATGGCAGCAAGCTATCTCAAACAGTACTTACTCTGAGCCACATAATGGCAGAGGTAGCAGATACCACAAGGTGGTAACAGTGATAATCAGGGCAGATACCATATTGTGACCCAAAGAACTCTGAAAAATATCAGATCTGAAATTGACTCAGACTACTTTCACCTCTGGCACGGCTCAAGGCATTTAAACTACCATTACAAATAACAGAAGAGGTGCCAGCAGCTTACTTGTTAACTTCTCTGTCTTGCTCCTGCTTTTAATCCTAAACCCTGCCATTCCACCACCTTCCCCCAAAACTCTGCCCTGCTGTTATTTAAAAAGTTTGGTTACTGGTGGTGAAAGAACTGGCCCTTGGCAGCTTGTGTCTTTAATTCTTGTAAGGCTAGAGGCCTAGTTTTTGTTCTGGCCTCAGGTTTCCTTGTTTCTACTGTAAGCAAAGCGCCAATTTAGGCCTAAAGGAAAAATATAGGTCCGTATGAGATAGTGAAAGAATAACAATGCAATTAATTCTTTGTTTCTATAGCTCATCTCTCTCTGATGGCAAGAGTCCTGCAAAGGTGATAAGTTTAACCACTGCCTTCACCAGCGCTGAACAGTAAGATAAAACATATTATTTTTAATGTCCTAATTTTGTTGAGTTTGTCTATTATAATGTTGGCATTCATCAGGAATGCTAAGAGACAATGATACAGGGTAGATACCAAGTCAATCACAGGCTTGTAACAGCCTTTGACTATGTGCTAATAGATGTGCCAAGTTGTGAGACAAAGTAAAGGTACTTGCATTCCAGTCCAATTAGCTTAAATAAAAACCAAAAGAACTGTGGATGCTGTAAATCAGGAACAAAAACAAAGTTGCTGGAAAAGCTCAGCAGGTCTGGCAGCATCTGTGAAGGATAAAACAGAGTTAACGTTTTGGGTCTAGTGACCCTTCCCCAGAACCGAAACGTTAACTCTGTTTGCTCCTTCACAGATGCTGCCAGACGTGCTGAGCTTTTCCAGCAACTTTGTTTTTGTTCCCAATTAGCTTAAATCTTGTTTTGTTTTTGGAATATTAAAGCTAAAACGTAAAATTACACACAGCATGATTTGTTGTTTTGAAAGTGGCAAATGTGGATTCAGTGAATTAAAAACCTTGGAGACTTATCAAATTCATTACAGCAGGATGATAGCATTTTCTGTTTGCAACCTCCTTTCATTTTCTAAGTCAGTGTTTTCCAAACCTTTTCCTGCTGTGACCCTTATTTTGAAACTTGTCACAACCCTTCCGTGAGAACTGAGAGAGTGATGGGTTGACTGTGATAGTGGGTTTGGTTTGGAGTCGGTGATGACTGTGAGAGTGGAAGACTGTTAGAGAGGGAGCACAGCTATTCTGACTCAGTCAGAGCTCCATAGCAGGCTGTACAGCCTCATAACTCTCAGAACATTACACCAAATTCTCAGCCTGTGATCCCACTTGGGGTTGCAAACCTCAAATTGAAGAACTCTGTTTTAAGTGAAGTAAGTTAGGTGTAGTTTTTCAATCAATTCCTGATGTCAAATCACCTCTACCTTGGCATGAAATCATTCAGAGTGAGCAAAGTGGGAGGGGGGTTCACAGTGTTGTAGCAGAATACTCTTCTGAAGTTAGTGTTAATGCAGACTGTGGCATTGGAAGAGAACGAGTTTTACCATACATTTGATTTGAGAATTGCTTAGTACTGACACTTTGTGGCTGAAGTAAAATACTACAGGTCATGATTGCAATGATATTATTGATAAACTTGGCCAAGTGAGTACATAGACTACCCACAAATGTAGCCTAATCCAGCAATTAGGAAGCAGGACTTTCCTACAAATAGATCATTGCCTTTTGTAATCTGCTGGACCATCTGTCATCAAAATGGAAACTGAACAATCAAGAAAATATAATTAATATATAAACATTTGTATGTGTTATGCCCAAAGGTGCATTGGTCTGCTGATTCTTTATGCTGAACATTTTTCTATCAGTGACCATTTTCCAATATCTTCCAAGGATGGTTCAAGGAGGCAAATTCCAAGTGTATCTTAACTTAGTCCAAGCATCAAACCTAGGCATTGGCATTATTTGAACCACATGCTAGCCATTTAGCCAACTAGTAGTCTTGTCTAAACACACAGAGATGAAAATTAAAAACACTGCCTCGCAAACAGAATGAGTCATATTCTCAGGCAGGATGTAACTTAAAGGAGGCTTTGTGGTGTAATGGCTGGTGTCACTGTCTCTGAGTCAGAACCTGATGACGATAGCTGGTGGAATTTAAATTCAATGAATAAATCTGGAATTACAAGCTAGTCTCAGTAATAGTAATCAAGGCAACTATCATCAATTGTTGTAAAATTCCATCTGGTTCACTTATTTCCTTCAGTGAAGGAAATCTGCCATACTTGCTTGGTCTGGCCTGTAGGTGACACTAGGCCCACAGCAATGTGGTTGACTCTTAACAGTCCTCTGAAATGGTGGAGCAAGCCACAGAGATCAAGAGCAATCAGGGATGGACAACAAAAACTCTGCCAATATTGCCAAAGTCACGTGAAAGAATAAAGAAAAATATCACGTGGTATTTTTATTAAAATTATTGGTAAAATATATGCCTCAAATTCTGAATAATACTTCATAATATGTGTAATTATTGGTGTTTCAGGAAAGTGGTAACTTTCTATTGATGTGTACTGCATGTTTATTATGTGGGTTTCTTTAACTTCTTATTTTCTAGGTTTTCTACTTCCCTCTCTTTGACTGCCTAAAATGAAACTGACAACAGACAGTGCTGGCGCATGATATATGCTGCTTTTGGTTCAGAGACTTCCTAAGCATGATTTCACACCCACTATGAGTTTTTCCTTTTGTTCCTTTGTTGTTAAATGCCACAGTGTCTGCTTGGACTTCCAGCACAGAAAGGGAACTATCCAAAGTAAGATTTAAATTTATGCCCAGACAATGGGCAAGTGAGTGGTGCCCATTTGTTTTATTTTCATTTTCAACAAAACAATTTGCTGTTTGTTCATTTTTTTTACCCTTTATATCTAAACGTGCTGTGACACCAGAACAACAGAAGTGATCAGCAAAATAAAAGATAAAATGATCATCTTGTGCCTTTTATCTTTTTCATGTTTCTCTCAAAAGTACTCCTGTCTTGGAGCAGGTAGCTCCTATTGAGTGCTACGACAAGCAATACTTTTAGTATCTTGTCAGTAATTTTGAATAAATATTTAATTGTTTGGTTTGCAGGAGATCCTCAGATAAAAATAAGTGCAGCCAGTGTTACAAACCCATTGAACACGGTGCTAAAATGATCTTGGAAGAGCTGAACATTAATTGCCATGCTGCATGCTTTAAGGTATGAGTTGTAGAATAACAAAACTACTTTTTCTAGATTATTGTACTGTAATGGCTAACATTAAAAACACTATAATGTGCACTTAAATATTGTTTACATCATTCACTTTTTCTTAATTTAACCTATTTTCTAATCAACCTATTCAGAGATATTATCACATACCTCTGGTGCAGGTGAGACTTGAATCTGGGTCTCTCAGACCAGGGGTAGGGACACTACCAACTGCACCACAAAAGATCCCTTATACTTCATTTGCTAAGTGGTGTGGTTAATTGTTTCTATCTTTTCCCTATCAACCTGTGGGGAAACAAGGAATATCCACTTAGTTAACATCACAAAATCATCATGTGCACAGTCACAGGCCCATATGTATTATCTGACACTCTGCATAATTTTGACTTCAGCTGGTGACAGGAGTTCGACCTAAAATCAAAATTCACCACTCTCTGTCAGTTTAAGCATCACCATAAAAGATTTACTAGTCAAGCGTACATTGATCATAATTAGAACATGTAATGTGTTTTTAAAAAATATTCCTGACAATAAAGGAGAAAACAAGCCAGGTATTTTCTGACACCTTTCCTCATCACTTCTCATTGGAATGAGCTGGGATTTACCAGTATCTGCTAATCTATAAAATCTCCTCCCTGCAATGAAGTACTAATTGACCTCATGTCTTTCTATTTAGACTGCCTCCTTTCCCTTTCCCTCTCCCGACTGTACTTGAACATTGGCTCTATGGGATAAACTTATAGATCTTGCAACTAAATAACATAGCCATGCTTTAGAAATGCATGGGCTGTAAGTGACACTTTGTATGTCTAGCCTGTGCCTCACGTAAGCAAAATTATGCACAAATTTATTTTGGCTTTGTTATAATGTTTTTGTTCATTGTAAAGGTGTTTACTGTGGTTCACAGAATAATTGTGATTATGCTTTTCTTATTGCAGTGCCAAATTTGCCACACCTCTCTTGAAAACTTGAGTGCTGGAGATAATTTCTGGGTTCACCAACGTGTTGTGCACTGTGAGAACTGCTATGATAAAGTAAAAGGTAAGTGGCAGAGTTAATTATGTTTAATGAGAAATTAATCATTGCGTGGCTTCCCATGGCCTAGAACCCTGTCCCCACGCTCCCTCCATTGGTTACCTCATGCAACCATCCTCAGTGTAATTGGTCAGTAATGACAGGCACAGTGCTAATTCATATGCTTTTCATTATTGGAATCTCAGTAAAAAATCTAGCAGTTGTAGGACAGTCTGCAGAAGCAGGGCACTATCCCAAATCATAACAATACGTAGAAAGCAGAAAAGAAGAACTTGCATAGGAATAGGCGAAGGTCATTCCACCCATCATGAAAATAAGACCATCACTGATCCATATAAACTTGTACTTGTCCTGTGTCTTTTATAATGCAAACATGTTTAAATGGACAGTTAATTTCCACTAGCAAGCTCTTACAAATAGCAATGAGATGATAACCAGGTACAATATTTTATTGAGGGATAAATACTGGACAACGCAACAACAAAAACTCCATTTCTATTCTTCAATACAGTATCATGAGATATTTTGTCTCTATTTTAGGTTTGGGTGGGTTAAAAGTATCAGTGCAACATTAGATTGAAAAGTGACTAATCCAATGTTTGCAACACTGTAGAACATCAGTTGTCATTATTGATAAATTGCTCTGAGGATGGTTGTAAAAAGTGACTGGGGATAGGGTGGTAGAATGTGAGAGACACATGCAATGAAACTTCCCAGAAACACATCCAACCAGACTGGCTGACTCTAACAGTTAGCAAGATTGTCCCCTAACACTAACCCAAAACTAGAAGAGGATGCAAGAACAAGATGTGGCACATCAACTTGAGATCAATGAGCCTGAGTTAGACTTTCGACAGAGGTGGAAAGCTGGCCTGATTTTTCTGCCAGAGAGCATTCATTTCACAGATACATGTATTCAATCATGGTTGAACTTCAAATTGAACATTCAATGAGAAACGCCTGTATCTTAAAATGCAGAGACAGGAGAAAGAACAACATCATATTTATTTTTTTAATAAAAGCAGAGATTGCATGCCTTTAAATATTTGGACTGTTCATCCAAAGTCCAGAACTAGGCATATGGACATGAAGTACACACATTGCTTAATATACATTGCCCAAGTACTTATTTAATAAAATCTTCATTTTAAGAAAGGAAATAAAATTAGCACTCAACAAGGGACTCCTGTTGTGCTGCAGGAATGGTTTAAAAATTCTTTGCGGTAGAGTTTATACTGATGTTATTCATATCAAACTCATTGTCCGAAATAGAAAAGGAAAAACTATGAAAGCTATATACACCCTTGCTTTGTCTGACCTATTAAAAATTTCAGAGCCACTGTTTGGTTCTCTTGGTTAATACATATTAAAACTACTCCAGGAACTGGGCAAACATAACTGCATTGCCACATTCTATATGCAATGTTATCCTGGACTGGTATTCTGTATTTGTGATTATATAGCTGATTGCTGCATGCAGAAACAGTGAAATCACAGTTACTGTTTATGATAAAAAGATTTTTAATTAACCTAGTCCTATGATAACCTTTGCAGCATTATACAACAACTGGCTACAAATTTTATGGAATAACTTTTGAGTTGAATCTGTTCTTTCACATTTTATCTTATTAACACTAAGAGACATTTCATAGTGTCCTATATCCATTCACTGGAGTAGGCCTTAAACAGTGTAGACCAGGGACAATGAATTCCTATCTATGTTTCCATGAAAATGGGAAGAAATGTAAAATGAGCTGCTGATTTGCCATCATCTGTTTATACCATGATACAAAATTAATATCCTTGAGAACCCTTCCGATTCTGTCTTCAGTAATGCTGAAAAGAGAAACATTTTGTCAAAGCCTTTCATCTTGTACTCATCTGGATAATTCACAAGAAATACCAAAGGAAAGGGAAACAATATTTATATTCTTTGGGACACGACTCTGTTCTTTTACAGAAAAAAAAAACTTGGAACAGCAACTCATATTCCGCTTGGGAGCCCAGCAGCCCAATGGTATCAATGTGGATTTCACAAGCGTCAAAATCTCCCCTCCCCCTACCGCATCCCAAAACCAGTCCAGCTCGTCCCCGCCTCCCTAACCTGTTCTTCCTCCCACCTATCCCCTCCTCCCACCTCAAGCCGCATCCCCATCTCCTACCTATTAACCTCATCCCACCCCCTTGACCTGTCCGTCCTCCCTGGACTGACCTATCCCCTCCCTAACTCCCCACCTACTCTTACCTTTACTGGCTCCATCCCCGCCTCTTCAACCTGTTTGTTTCCTCTCCACCTATCCTCTCCTCTATCCATTTTCTATCCACCTCCCACTCTCTCCCTATTTATTTCAGAACCCCCTTCCCCTCCCCCTTTTCTGATGAAGGGTCTAGGCCCGAAACATCAGCCTTTCTGCTCCTATGATGCTGCTTGGCCTGCTGTGTTCATCCAGCCCTGCACCTTGTCTTGTAAACTCACTTGCCTGTTTCAATTCAACAAAATAGCAGATAGCCATTCTCTGGTTAATTTTTCAGGGCAATCAGACGCTATATGCCAAACAATCAGCACTCTGCTCTCACACAATAAAAATGTTGTTTCTCCTTTTACTTTACTGTTTCCTGCAAATTGTCTTGATGTGTGCAAGATGGAGAATTTCAATAAAATGTGTATATTCTTCAGTACTCAAGTTGTGTCCTACAAAGTGACAATTTGTCTTCTGTCTTTGCTTCCTCTCATTATCTTTAAGTATTTAAAATCCAATTTTGGTCCAATGAACTATTTACTTGCTGATTTTCCTCATTTGTTTCTCTTCTTCATCTCTTGGTTATTTTTCATATAAATATCTTGGCTTTAGACATGTGCTTCTTTAAAAATGGAGGCACAATTCAAGCATTTTGCATGAGAAGTTGCCTAGTTTTCAGTGACTTTTTATCTTATGTAAAGTGTATCAAGTTGTAAAAGGTGTATGGATCATTGGCCTCGATATTGCTGTCAGTGAAGAAAGACACTCAAATGGATTCAGTAATCTCTGGTGTAGATTTTCCCTATCCTAAGATAAATTTGAATCTTTAGTCAGGTCAAGTAAATTTCCAGGTGTTTAACAACAGCAAAGTCACAAAGTTGATTTAAGCAGCCAATTGCAATCTAATTATTTTCACAGACGGCAAGCTTGGAGGTGAAATGTACTGATTATCTTTCACTTTGCAATAGCATTTTATAGAGAGTGATATATATGATTAGAACATGCACATGAGATTAAGATAGTTAAATTATCACAAACTTGAAAACATGTCAAATTTATTAAAAAATGCACATTTTTTCATAGTGCAGTAACCTGATAGTCCATAAATATTAAACTTGTTTTTCAAGGCCAGAGAGATTTTTCAAAAGTAATTATCACCCTAGTCCATGTTAATAACCTAGCTATACTTCATTCGATACGGTCTAACTTATTCACAGGTTTCAATAGTGAGACTATTAGTATAAAATGGCAAGATCTCTTCAGCTATTTCTAACAGATCATAATCTATTGATGACTTTAACTGTGTACTCAAAGGGGAAGTCCAAACTCACAGAAAGCAATATCTTAATTTTTGTGTTTAACTGTGCATGCGCTGACTCCAGAAGTTATTATCTTTTTCAAGTATGACAGTGAATGCTGATTATTTGCCATCACTGACATGGCAAAATCCAAACTGTTATGTTCATGCCTTACTGTGAAATGTTTTTAAATGTCTGATTGCAAAGTACATGTGTATGAAATAATTCATGATGGAACATCTTAATCTCTTTTAAGTCTGAATAACATTTCTATTTTTGGTTTTTTTGCAGCACAACGATCATACTAAATTGATACATGGACAAGTTTATCAGTGTTTCAATGACTATGATTTCAGATTTATTGGGGTTAGGAGGATATATTTACGCTACTTTATGAATTTTAGAAAAATCTCTTAAACAAATTACCATTCCTTTTTCTCATTGTAATTTCTGGACTTTATTCCAAAACAAAGGAATACCATTTCCTTAGTACTCTTTATGTATACATTATATTTTCGGGGGCAAACTGCTACGAAAGGACTGCATCAACGGAAGTGAAGTCACTGCTTAAAGAACAGCCATGAAATAACTGTTCCATTTGATCAGTATATTAGCGTACCAGGATCAAATGTGGTTTCTTCCTCGAAATGATGTTCACCAGCCTCTGCCATTGCAAATGGATAACCATTGTGTTTTTATTTTCTACCTGAATCTACAGAGTAGTATGTGTTGCCCAAATTATAAAAGAACTACAGATGAGATGTTGAAGTGGAATGGCATGTATTAATAGAACTGAAATCTTCTATCTGTTACCTGTATAGCAAAAACAGATTCAGTTTTTCAAGGCAGAATTACAAAACTTGAGAATACATCAGATCCAGTATGTTGAAAGGGCAGCCTATATATTACTGAGGGTTCAGGCCTGTTCATCTCTGCACAAATAGTTTGTTTAGTACTACAGCAAATTTGGAAATGTGTGAATTGTGTTTTTTTTTTAATTTGAAGAATTGAGGTAAATGGTATTGTGGGACAAAATCTGCTACATAGAATTACCATTGCATTGATTATGTCAACACTACCCTAATTACCACGCAAGCTTAAGATTTGCAAAATTCTTAAGCATAATTTGAAAAAAAAAAGAGTTCTTTAAAAGCAAGGGACAGAAATTTGAAAGGAACACTTTATATCTAATTTCTGTAGTTAAACACTGCTTTTAGGGAGGTTTATATTTCTGTAAATGATATTAGCATTTTATTTCAACTACTATTGATATCTATGTAACAAACAATCTGGGTCAAATTTTCTTTTTGCACATATAGTCTTACAGCTGATTGTACTGATGGAAGCCGCTGACAAGATCATTCAAACAAGCTCACACAAATATATGTCCAGTGGCATTACACGTTGTGGTGATATTTCCACCAGTAATTTATAGATACCATTCTGTTTGTAGAACCACTCCTGCGGTAACAGCTTAAACATAACTTCAGTAAAAATCACATTGTTTATGCTTGTTCTTGCTCATGGTAGCAACAAGCAAAATCAATAAATATTCATTTTGCTTCTTTGAACACCACATCTAAATGCTGCAAGCGAGAAAATCTGGCCCATTTGTATTTAACATTTTTAAATATAGCTTTTAATAAACAAAAAGTATGGTTTGGATCAATTGAGACTTAAACAGAAGTGGAATCAGTGGATCCATCAATCCCATCTTTAGAATTCTTGAACATCATGTATGTTACTCGGAGACAGCTGTGATACATCATCATCTATAAAAGCAAAATCTTTTACATTCACTGGAGAATTAACTTGTGAAACTCAATTTTTTTATTACTTTATTGAACAATTGAATTCACAGTTGCATCAGGAACGGTGAAATTGAGGACACTAAAATCTTTGAAAGCTCAACCCGCCTTATTCAACACCTCTTGTAATAGAGAGTAAACATAAACATTGAACAAAAATTCAGTGGTGAGAATAAACACATTAGCAGGAACAATGCTTTGGTGGATCAAACGATCATTTGTCAGAAGCAAACAACAATCTGAGTTCCCATTTTAAATGAAATCTTTGTGTCAGGAATATATTAACTAAAATTATGTCTATGTACTAATGCATGAATATTCAGCAAGAAAAAATGTTGGTACAGTACTATTTTGTTAATGATCTCTAATATTGTGTTAATAAAAAGGAAGGACTGACCAAATTAGGTAAATACTGTTGTCCTTTAATGGTGTGCTTATTCCATTTCTTACTTGGAAATCACTTTTGATTTTTTTCTTTTATTTATACATTTTATTTGACCCAGCCTTTCTGATATCATTTTAGTCATACATACAAAATCATGTTAGATCATTGGGCAATTTTATAGTTTGGCCAAGTTTACTTCCATTTCTCTTTTCTTTAAATTCATCAACTAGTACTTTTTCATTTTAGCAAATATTTTCAAGCTGATTCAGTAGCAGAAAAACGTTCAATGGAATTTTGTCCAAACTTTTGATCCATGGCCTAATAGGGGAACAATATTTTTCCTACTATCCTGAAATCTTGGTCTTCTCCACTGGGGCAATTATATTTTTTAAAAATTTAATTCTGAAGAGACCAAGTTCCTGTATGTCCCTTTTAAATCTAACCAGCACCTGTTATTTCTTCCAAATGACAACTCCAGACTCAGTCATTTATTGTCAATTCTTGCCCTCACTTTGGGAGTCAAACTGAAAGGAATGTACACCATACTTAGAAATATAATTTCCTGTGTCAAAGAAATTGACTGACAGTAATCAACACCCAAGACATAAAACACCTCACCCTGTAATACTTTGGACTGTAATGTATAAGTTGATCTTTGTAGTCTCACAAAGATTGAATAGACTTGCACAGTGCTCAAAATGTGAAATACTGGGTTGGGCAATTGCCATTTTGAAATGTGAAATATGGTGATTCATGTTAAATTAATGTGGCACATTGACATTGATTAATTGTATGAAGATGCCTCTAACCACAATCAAAGCATTTTAAAATCATTGATTTAATTACTTTTGGTACCCAGTACAAATAGATCAAATGAGTTATTTTGCCAGTAGCATCGTAAGGATCCCACTCTGGTTCAGATGTGGTGCTCTGGCTTTCAGAATTATTCCCCCTACCAAAATCCACCCCCACCCCCACATACACACACAATGAGACATCTTCCCATTCATTAATTGAGTTGGATATTCTGTAGTTTTGTATAATCTGATGACAGTTTGTGCACTGCTAACTTACTACAATTTGCTAATGAAGCCATACAAACCATCAGCGGGGCACACACATGCATTTCAACACTCTCTGAAGCCTTTTTCTCCAACAACCATCACCCATTCCATCCAGCACCAATACGATCTGTGAATAGCTTGTTGAGGCATCCATCAAAAGGTTGAACTATGGACATTAAACTTCCTGGTAAAGCTGCATTACAGGTGCTATTTTTTCATAGACACCTGTGGAACTCATTGGTTATATAGGATCTGAGCAAGACCAGTATTAATAAACTGCATTCTTTACATAGGCCATCCAGACTGCTATTCAACACACCATCAGTCCACAAATTCAGTTTATTCGATTCATCCAGCCATTGATATGAATGCACTCAAAAAGAAGAATGGAAGAATTTGAATTTCTACAGGGTTTACATTTGAAAATTATGATAGACATTATTCCGTTCATGTCCATTTCACCCATGTTGCCGATGTGACATGATGGGTACTTATTCTTCTGCTGTTTGATGAATCACCCGAACTGTCATTTTAACATCTGTGTCCTTTAGTAGTTTCTGAGCAATCTTGGACTTCAGTCATATCACTATATTGGCTTGTTCCATAAACCTGCTATATCATTATTTAGCTGTTGGTCTGAACTTAGCTGTTCATTTGGCCCACTTAAATGTTTATATATACGTCACAGTCCATATGAGAGTATAATCATTCCAATGATTTTCTAGCACTTGTTATGATACATAGAGGTCAAATCATCGGCTGGTCCCGGTTCTTACGGTGTGTTTGGACGAGGTTTTTTCTTCAGTGTAGATTTCTTTTTTTCCATACTCACACTTTTTTTTCTCATGAAACACTAAATTCTCTCTCTGCAAGGCAGTCAATCGTTGGGTTTGCAAACCATAGGATATTTCACTGGAAACTGGCTTTCAACTTAATTCATTTTCCACGGGATCCTTTTCTGTTTGTCACTCGTGTGCTCTGGTCCATGTGAGCATATTTGAAACTCCCATTCACCTTCTTCATAACACTGCCTGCTGCCTGATCCCATGCACTGACTTACAATAAAGGCAAGGAAAACACATTTCTCCCGTCAAAAATTGAAGCTGACTATGAATATTAATAAAGCATGCAGGGGTGCCAAGAGGAATCATCCTAATTGCCAAGTATAGGCAAAGACATGACTTTTGGAACTGAAGATAACATAAGAAATAAGAGCAAGACGCCATTTGGCTTGGTGGGCTGTTACACTAATCAACAGAATCATGGATAATCTGCCAGTCCCCCATAACCATTTTTTCTCTGCGTCAATTAAAAATTTGTCTAACTCAGCCTTTAACATATTCAATGACAGTCTCCACTGCTGACTGGGGAGAGAATTCCAAATGCCAATGGCCCTTGAGAAAGATTAAAAAAAAACCTTCTCATATCTTTATTTTAAACTGTGTCCCTCAGTTCTGATTCCCCACCAGAGTATACAGCCTCTCAGCATTTCTGCTGTCAAACCCATCTCATGATTTTACATGTTACAATAAGATTACCTCTCAGATTTTTAAAATTCTAATGGCTATAGGTGAAACCTGCTCAACATTTCTTCATACAACCATCCTTTCATTCCAGGGATCAGCTTAGTGAACCTTTTTTGAACTGCTTCCAACACAAGTAAATTCATACTCCACCACTGCCCCCAAGCCCCCACCCCCAACTTGAGTAAACAAAACTGCATGCAGCACTTGAGAGGTGGTCTCTGTACAGTTGAAGCAAATAAGGACAGGACTTTGACATTCCATCTCCCTTGCAATAAAGGCTAACGTTCAGTTTGCCACTGTATTGCGGCTACTTACTGCATCATTTATATAAATGATTTGAACGCGAGCATAGGAGGGATGGTTATTAAGTTTCCAGATGACACTGAAATTGGAGGCATAGTAGCCAGTGAAGAAGGCTATTTCAGAGTACAACGGGATCTTGATCAGATGAGCAAATGGGCCGAGGAGTGGCAGATGGAGTTTAATTTAGATAAATGTGTGGTGCTGCATTTTGGAAAGGCAATCAGGGCATGACTTATACACTTTATGGTAAGATCCTGTGGAATGTGGCTGAACAAAGAAACCTTGGGGTGCAGGTTCATAGTTCCTTGAAAGTGGAGTCACTGGTACATAGAAGCATGGAAGATAGGAGCAGGAGGAAGCCATTCTGCCCTTCAGGTCTGCTCTGCCATTCTTCACGATCATGGCTGATCGTCCAACTCAATAGCCTAATCCTGCTTTCTCCCCATAACCTTTGATCCCATTCGCCCCAAGTACTATATCTAGTCACCACTTGAATACATTCAATTTTTTGGCATCAACTACTTCCTGTTGTAATGAATTTCACAGGTTCACCACACCTTGGGCCCTGGTTCTGGACACACCCACCATTGGGAACATCTTCCCTGTATCTCCGCTGTCTGGTCCTGTTAGAATTTTATAACTCTCTGTGAGATCCCCCCTCATTCGTCTGAACTCCAGTGAAAACAATCCCAACCTAGTCAATCTCTCCTCACGTCAGACCTGCCATCCCTGGAATCAGCCTGGCAGACAGTGGAGGCTCAGGTAGATAGGATAATGAAGAAGGCATTTGGTACGTTTACCTTTATTGGTCAGTGTATTGAGTTTAGGAGTTGGGAGGTCATGTTACGGCTATACATTGGACATTGGTTAGGCCAGTTTTGGAATACTGCATTCAATTCTGGTCTCCCTGCTAAAGGAAAGATGTTGTGAAACTTGAAAGGATTCAGAAAAGATTTGCCAGGGTTAGAGGTTTTGAGCTATAGGGAGAGGCTGAATAGGTTGGGGCTATTTCCTCTAGAGCGTTGGAGGCTGAGGGGTGACCTTATAGAGGTTTATAAAATCATTAGGGGCACAGATAGGGTGAATAGCCAAAGCCTTTTCCCCAGGGTAGGGGAATCCAAAACTAGAGGGTATTGGTTTAACGTGAGAGGGGAAAGATTTAAAAGGGACCTGAGGGGCAACTTTTTCATGCAGAGGGTGGTGTGTGTATGGAATGAGCTGCCAGAGGAAGTGGTGGAGGCTGGTACAATTACGAAATTTGAAAGGCATCTGGATGGGTATATGAAATGGAAGGGTTTAGAGGGATTTGGGCCAAATGCTGGCAAATGGGACTAGATCAGTTTCGGATATCTCGTTGGCACAGACGAGTAGGACTGAAGGGTTTGTTTCTGTGCTGCATATTTCTATGAGTCCATGAACTTCGTGACTCATACACAAGGCTAACCTATCCATCTGTACAGCAGTGTTCTGCAGTCTCTCTCCATTTAGAGAACAGTTTTATTCTACTCTTCCTGCCACACAGCCTTACAGCTTCGCACAAGGTACTCAGCCTACTAAACCACGGCCCATTCACTCAGTCTATGTATACATGTGCTGGAATGCTTTACCTGTGTACCACGATGCATAATTTGCACGATCATATTTTGCACTGAGTATATTTCCTATGTGCAACTTCACACCCAATTCACGCTGCTCAACTCACAGTGACAAGAACAGAAATGGATTGGAAGAGCTCAGCAGGTCTGCCAGCATCCGTGGAGAGAAACCAGAGTTAACGTTTCGAGTGCAGTGACCCTTTTTCAGAACAGCGAGCCTCACAGCAGGACGCATGTACAGTTGAAGCACACGCAGTTTTGCAACAATAAAACTGCAACAGATTATCGCATGTGACACACGAAAAAAGACAACAGAATAAAGAACGATGCGGCAATGATCTGGGGGCGGGGTGTTGAGGGAATTAGTAGTGGCTCTGTTACCATTCAGGCGACGTTACTCTTTTGATATGGGCGGCGCTTTCGTGAGATAACACCTCCACCCTCCGAAAAAACAATCTTGCAATAAGATCGTTTGCGGACTGAGAGGGGAGAAAGGGGTGAAAAAAAAAGGTGTCGCCTGACAGCGTTAAAAACACA